ACTCGAGGTGCTGATGGCGATTTGTTTATTGATTCGAGACTCTGGAACCTTGCTTTCGAGACTCAACTAAATCCTATCAAACCCTTGGAATGTGGAGTGTGAGTATTGGGCCTTGAAAGTTCACTTGAAGATGGAACCTACAACGGCAAAAAAGTGATGATCAGAAATGAAAGTCATGAAAGCGCGAGTCTACATAATCACAACATAGTGCTCTAAAAGAAATTTATTTTCTGAAAGGTCAAAAAAAAGCATAAATCAAATAGGGACCTGGGTTTTAACTGATCCCTGAAACTTGGAGCTGGACATGGCACCAAGCATGAAGTATAATAGAGAAAATAATGATTTCATTGTGCAATTAAATTGATTGGAAATGCATCCAAGTGAACGAGCTTTCCTCCAGGATCGAGTGAGATAAAATGTATATTCACTTATTTGGCGTGTCAAAACTGTATTTCTGTATCAAGTGAAACTCTATGTCATACAGATTTTTGCTGATCAACACTAAGAATCAAGTGTGTTGAGAATCAAATGAGTTGGAATGACATGCAAGAGCAAAAAATTCATCATAAGAAATTACGATACAATAAATTTTACACCACAAACTAAACATGTGTAAGAAAACAATGGAAATTGTACACCCCAAAGGCACTACATTTATGAAATGCTATTTAAATTGTCACTGGCAAACCAAGTTCAATAGCATCATATATGATACTATCTCAAATATAGACAACCCTGGGCCATCTTAATCCTAGAATTTCAATGAGTCGTGAACCTTAGACAATGTTCAACAAATTCAGAATCAGAGTAGAGTGTACAAGGAACCATAATAAAACACACTAATTATAGAGAACAAGATACAATAGATGCTACTCTTTCTTGCCTCGAGAACCAAGTATGAATCTAATGCCAAGAACACAAAAACTAGAGAATTAATTATATATTTTTCATGAAGTTCATATCTACCTTAACCTTCTTCCAATATGCTAGTTCTCTTTGAATGGCTTGCTCCAACAATGCATCTATTTTTTCACCTTCGCCCATGTCTCTTCCGCTCGAATCTCTTTAAAAAATATTTAGATCAAGACGATTATAATTTGAAACAAGAAATATGTTAGGTAATTTCTTATCAAACGACCCCCCTGGCTATGATGTTATTCGACTTTAGTTTTCAGTCGGCTTAGCTAAATGTCTGAACGAAAATTATAACACCACAATTGAGATGTCACGACTCAAACGTTAATCGAGCCATTCGAAGCAATCTAAATATTTTAGTGTTACTCATGGCCCAATCCGCTTTCTTGGATGGCCATAATTGAAAGAGATTACTTGGGAGCCCATTTGTCTACTTATTGGACCTCTGCTTTACCCAATAATTCACCTAATTCTACTTACCATACTTGGGCCACTTTACTTAATATATTGGATCTCCCTTTCTCTTTGCAAGAGAATCCGTCCCCTGCCTCTCTCTCTCTCTGTGATTCGGCCATTGCAATTTCTTCTGCTCTTCTGCCTTCTTTTGGTTTCTACCTTTAGTGGTGATTATATATGAGATTTGTGCGCCTTTGTGGTCTTCTAAGTGAACTATCTCATTGGCAACCGAAAATGGAAGTTTGGTTATTGTCTTGGGTCGTTGTTGTTAGGTTGTGGTGTTTTTGGTTAGAAGAAACTAAGCATGGGCAAAACTTGGTGATCAACATACGTTCAACAAAATGCATAATGTTGTAGTCAAATAATTTCCATGAAGCAATTAAACTCAATAAAATGCTCGAAAAAATCCATATACATTTTTCTTCTGAAATTTTATGCAATTCAGAAAATATACACAATTAATTGCAATTTTAGAGAGAAGAACACAAGTAAAATTTGGAAAAGTACACAGTGAGAATTTAGACTGGCCAAAGATCAATACAAAGATAATTAAGTGAAACAACTGAAATTATATTTTATTTGCTCTGTATTTGATAGAAAAACCAGCATATTTACAAAGAATTATAGTTGATGCAATTAAGGTTTATGGAGAATCAAAGAACAGACAAGTACTTGGAAATGAAAATACATAAGGTGGTTGTGAGAGTAGAAAAGGACAAAAAGTAACAAAAATCAACTTTACTGATATGTATATGCCTGAATTTTCACCAAAGAATGTATAATAAACAAGATTTTTTCCTTTTTTTTCTTTCATAATATTGTCTCATACTATTCAATGTACTCGATTAAACATTTCACAGAGATGTTAAAAACCTCAGAGTTGGAATGGCGATGATGTCGACAGGCACGTCTGGAGCTTGGCCTTTCAAGCCAACAACCTTTGTAGATTTTTTATTTATTTATTTATTTATTTTTTACCTCTTTATTGAAAAAGACAAGAATTTAAAAAATTGTAAAGCCCAGTACATTTTATGCCTACTGGTTGAACCCAGTCTCGCATTTTTCTAGTCTGCCTACCAAGTTGCCAAAAGATAAGTTTTCCTGATCATCTACAATTACGCACGTCTTGATGGACATCTTCTCGAAACAAAATTAATTTGTTTAAATAAATCAGATTAATAGTTAATTATATATAGAACTTGTAAGACATAACGAATTATCAACCTTATAATTAATTGAGAATGAGTAAAAGAAGATGTTTCAAAGCTATACACTACTTTTGAAAAGTTCTATTTGATTGATCTAAACGCAAATTCCAATACAATTGTTGAAAAGAACATTGCTTTTTGTTAGGAAAAGTTGTTTTCTGTAAAACTTAAAAAAGAGTTAAACTTAAAAAAGCACATGAATTGCCAGACAGAAAACAACAATAATGTTAGTTGACCACTTGACAAATTTTATATCCCTCTCTGATACTGATACTGAAATGATATCGATTTACAAACTCAACGTTGACTTCTTCAGGAGATAAGAGGTTATAATTTTTGGGAATAGAATGAAAATGGGATTTGTAGCACCATAGTTTCTTGACATCCTTTACGAGTCTCTTATTCTTTAGCTCTTCCTAAGTTTCAATTTTCAATTTCTTTTTGACATTGTAAACACGGGCTATGTGTTTTTTCCCCTTGAGGTGAGACTTAAAACAGTCTTCGTTCATGCAGGGAACATGACATAACTCACACCACAGAATCATCGCTCCATTCTCTCCACCATTTTTCTGGCCGAGTTCCAATTCATGTAGTTTGGCCTTGTGTTTCTTCCCTTTCAAGTGCATGTCCAGAGCAGTTCTGTCTGGGCAGAAAATTTTACAGACATCGCATCTTGGTTGACTGTGTTGATTCTGTTCTTTGCCGTTCTTGTTTAATTGCATCCATTTCAACTTCGCCTGGTGAGTACGACCTTCTACGTGCTGCTGAAGAGTTAATGCACTTGAGCAGCTAACTTGACAGAGATCACAGGATAAATTCCTCACCAAATTGTTGGTGATGTTAACATTACAATCTGTTGCTTTCCTCTTTAAGCAGGAGTGTGTTTGTATAACATTTAATCTTGATCTGGGGCATGGATTCAGGGTGGGAACCTGATTTTTCACTGAAAGTTGATATGGTGTAATCACATTAGCACTTGAAATCAGATCGTGACTTGGGACACGACTCAAAGTTGAAGATAGATTATGACGAATTGGGATTTCAGTTGAAGGTAAAACCTGAAATTGGGAATAAGTTAGTTAAAAGGCTTGATAAAATTAAACTAAAGGGTAAATTTGACTGACATAAGATTTGAAGGTAAAAACAGAGTAGGATGGTAACAACTTGAGTCGAAGATGGTGGTTTTGAGACTGAATCAAATCCTATCCAACCATTGGAATGTGGAGTCGGAGTTTTCGGCCTTGGATGTTCTCTTGAAGATGGAACCTACAACGAACGAAAAGGGTGCTGGTCAGAAACGAAAACATGAAGCATTAGTCCAATGTAATAATATCAGAACACAACATAGTGCCAAATAAGGGGGAAAAATCAATCAAACTGGGATTGATATAGAGAACAGAGCAGTTGCAAACTTGCATTTAATGTTGAACTTGATCCTCTCCTGTTATTCGGCATTGGAGATGAACTTGAGAATCTCGGAGATTTAATTGAAGATAACACCTAACATGAGAAAAAAGCTAGTTAAAAAAATGAAATGGCGATTCTAAAGCAACAAATCAGTAACATGATGGATAAAGGTTGAGTCTGGAACAACTTGAGGTGTAAACTCCCGGTTGCGACGTGTATCTGAGATTGAACCTCGGGGTACCCAATCATTGAAACTTGGAGACGGACTATAGGATTTCTTGACTTCACTAGCTGAAGATGGCGCCTAGCATGAGGAATAATAGGGAAAAATGGAGACTTCACAAGCAATTAACTGATTTATAATGCATGTAAAAGCATAATTTTTCTTCGATGAACCACGATAAAATTTCAAATACATGAAGTTTACAAACTTTGAAACGATAACAGTACTCGAAATAAAACACATGATCTCAAGATTCTCAACATAATTTATATTTCTTTGTTGCAGACAAGGGCAGAATTTTCATGAAGTTCATATCTACCTTAATTTTCTTCTGATATGCTACTACTCTTTGAACGGCTTGTTCCACCAATGGATCGACCGTTCTAACTTCTTCCATATCTCTTTCAGTAGAATCCCTTCAAAAAAAAAAAAAAGAAAGGAAGAAGAAGAAGAAGAAGAAGAAGAAAAATTAGATCAAGATTTTTATCATGATTTGAAATATGAAATATTTAGTGTTTCCAAATAATTGCTGCAAACCCCACTCTTGTTGCATGTGACAGAAAGTTCACGAGTCCAATCCTGCAAAAAAGGTAAGAGAATTGGTACAAAATTATGCAGAAGTTACCGAATTAACCTATGAAACTTTCTATTTGAGACGTGTTTATGAACTATTTAAATTATAAATAGATAGAAATGAGTGGTGGATATATGAGTAGGATTTGTGGGTTCCACAAAACGTGTCAAAAAAAAAAAAAAAAAAGATATTTTACCGACTATAAACATTAGCCAAATATTAGAATGAATTTTGTGCTCTCTACCATCATCTGCAAATATTATAGGACATTGCTTTACAAAGTTGTTAATAGGGATCATCAGTAATATGTAAGGCTAATAAGATTTCTACGAACCATGGGACACAATTTCTTCCTTACTACAATCCTTACAACTGAACATGTCCAGAATGAATAAAACAATCCTTTAAATAGACAGATTTTCTGTAGAAATTTTTGCAATCTCATGATATATTAAACAGAATGAATCACAGTTTCAAGGACAAGAAAACAAGAGAAGCTGCAAATTGCAAAGCAGTACATAACTAAAAATTTATCAAACGGTGATTATGATCAAATGGAGACATTTGGAAGAATTTTGAACTTAAAAAGTTGTGTACTAATGAGAGTTGAAAGTACAATAACACCAAAGGTGTTTCTGGTCTGTGTCACCAATCTTTTTTTTTTTTTTTTTTTTGCCCTTTTATTTTAAGTAAGTAGATCAGAAGGACGGAAAAGTTAAAAAAAAAAAAAAATTGTTCGACTAGGTGACCCCATTGGTGCCCTGAGGCCATGTTGAGATTTCACATTTTTATGGGCGTCCGGCTAGGCCTGACAATATGCCAGTTGTCTTCCTCTCGACTCTTCTAGCCTGAGCTTAAAAACCAAGGTCAATTTGTTTCAATAAATTAGAAGTTTGGGAATTTCTTGCTTTTCGTTATTTCAAAGTTAATGTACTTGTCTGATTGCTATTGTTGAAGAGAAAACTGCTTTTAATTTTGTTGGAAAAGCTCAAGTTACCCTTATAAAAACGCGGTTTTAAAGATCCTTTTTTTTATCGTTGAACTTAAAAAGTATGTGAGTTGCTAAATGTGTAAATGAACATAATAACGACATATTTGATATGTGGATTGGACCGATGGAACAAAACAATTAACAAATTTTATAGCGCGGCTCTTTTCCACTTTGAATGTTGTTCTGAGTACTAATTGAAGCTTACAGAGATGATATAAAGAAAAAATGAGTCTGTTTTGTTTAAGAATGTAAATTTGTCTGTCTAATTACAGAAAGAATCAATACAAAGGATCTCTATATTTTGATGCATGTCTGAGTAAAAACTGATCTGCTGATGAAACTATTGACATTTTTCTGAAGAACAATCTCCTTGGCTGCCTGAAATCCTTATTAACATTGCTAAAACTTCTTTCATATTAGGCCTAGAATGAGGGTTCTCTGCTGTGCACAATATTCCTATACGAAGTAAATCACACATATATTCCGCGCCCTCTGCTAAGCCGGATACCAGTAGAGCTACTGGGATTACATTTTTAGCAAAGCCATGTCGTCCATCTCCCATAACCCTTTTGCCCCATTCGACTAAACATTCTTCACCACCATCCACAGCCCGTCTCCCAGTTGCTAGTTCCATTGCTAACACCCCATAGCTGTAAACGTCTCCTTTTGTTGAGGCTTGCCACGTCTGACCATATTCTGGTGCAACGTAACCAATTGTTCCGGCTACCATAGTGCTAACATGACTGCCTCCGGCATCCACCACCCTTGCGAGTCCAAAATCCGTAACACTGGCTTTTCCTGTCTTGTCGAGAAGTACATTGCTAGCCTTGACGTCCCTATGTACTATACTTGGTAAGCACTCATGGTGTAAGTAGACTAAGGCGCGTGCAACGTCTACTGCCACATCGATACGCCTTCGCCAGTTAAGGTGTATTCTGTCGGTAATAAGATCCTCTAAAGTCCCACCTTCCATGTACTCGTAAACCAATAGTTTTTCTGATCCATCAAGACACCATCCGTATAGTTTCACAAGGTTCGGATGAGGCCAACCGAATCCATTTCCACTTAATACCTCCATTTCAGCTCGGAATTCTCTTTCCCCTTCAAGTCCTTCTCTTTGTAATTTCTTCACTGCCACTTGCCTGCCATCAGGCAAGACTCCTCGATAAACTATTCCTGATCCTCCCCTGCCAATAATTCTGTCCTCGGAAAAGCTCCGAGTAGCCTTCAAAATGTCATCATGTGTGAAGGTTGTTCTATCCAATCGGATAACTTTAACCGTGTCTGATAACCAGGGCGAAGATGCACCCGAGCTTGATGCAAATTCGAGCTGAGCCTTCGAGTCCTCCAGTAGATATCCCTGTGTGTCAATTGGACTTTTCACCAACAGGCAGACTATGAGAGTCATAAGGCCACATACTAAAAAGGCGAGTATCAAAGCGAAAACCACTAGAGTAGCTCCTACCTTTGTAGTTCTCTTAGCCCTTCCATTCCTGTTTCTTGAATCGCCAGTTGTGTTATTAATGAAAGAAGGAAGGCGTAAAAGTGGATCCCCGAGGAACGACCATCTCTCAAATGTAGACAACTGTCCAGTTGTTGGTATTACACCAGAAATATACGGGTTGTACGAGACATTAAACTTGCTCAAATCATTCAAGTTATTCAAGCTAGTAGGAAATGAACCTGAGAAATTGTTATATGACAAATCCAGGTTCATTAAGCACTTGAGGTTACCAATTTGCCAAGGAATTTCACCAGAAAATTTGTTCTGCGAGATGTTGAGGACTACTAGTGGCATTTGTCCTATCTCAGTAGGGAATTTACCATAGAATTGATTGATTCCCAAATGCAACATACTGAAATTCAACATGTTCCCAATCTCGAGAGGGACCTCACCGGACAATTGATTACCGGAAAGTTGAACATAGCCTGATATCTGAAAAGTCCGTATATTTGATCCCGGTGAGCACACCGTAAATAGGCCATACCCCTTAAGAATCTGGTCCCAAAGACTTCGACATTTTTTCCTCGTAAGGAGTTTATATACAAAGCTAAACGGGGGATAATCTGCTGGTATCCACCTCATCATTGTCAAACATTCCCCGGAGCCAGCCGCGATCTGATCATTTTGCCGGTTTTTTAGAAAAGTAGGCGTCGCATTCTTGCCAATGTTTGTTAATTCAGGTGGAATTTTCCCTGAAAGATGATTGTTTGCAAGATTCAACCACAAAAGGCTGCTGCAAGTTCCCAGTTCTGCTGGAATTTCACCTGTCAATGAATTATTTGCTAACATTAACCACAAAAGTGAGGTTAAATTTCCCAAGCCTTGAGGTATCGACCCTTTTAACTGATTGAACGAAAGATCAAGGGCTTGAAGCCCTTTGAGACTTCCATACTCTGAAGGTATATTTCCACTGAATTGGTTGTAGGCCAGAACAAGAAACCTCAAGCTTGTCATCCTGGAAACTTCAATGGGTAATGGACCGGAGAAATTGTTGTAGCTCAAGTCCAGTCGAGTAATGTTAGGCAGTCGAAGAATTTTTGAAGAATTTATCCCTCCTGTATATGAATTTTTATGCAACAAGAGAAATTTCACTCGTGTCAATCGCCCAAAAATTTCTTGTATGTCTCCTCCAAAGTTGTTTCCGCTTAAATCCAGAAAAACCAAGTTGCTAAGATTTGTTAAAGACTCTGGAATTTCCCTGAAAAAATTATTACTCCCCAAGTAAAGTGCCTCAAGATTAGATAGTGATCCAATCCCTTTAGGAATCAGCCCTGTAAAATTGTTCCCCGCTAATGTCAACACTTCCAAATCTTTGCAATTGGAAATTTCTGCTGGAAATTCTCCGAAGAATTGATTTTCTGATAAATCAAAACTCATTAAACTACAATTTTGTGTGAAAATTGAAGAGGGAATGCTGCCAGAGAAATTGTTCTGCGCGAGTGAAAATTCCTTGAGCCTATCAGAACCAGGCCATATATCTCCAGTCAAATTATTCGAGCTGAGATCTAGATACATCAGATTCTTGCACTCCTCAAAGATGCTTCCAACTTTACCAGTAAAATTGTTTAAAGAAATATTCACCACCTTCAAGTTTTGGCAATTTTTAGGAATTGCTTGTTCAATATGACCAGCAATTCTTCTATTGAGGGACAAATCAAGAAACTCCAGGCTGCTGAGTGCTGTCAAGTTGAACTCTCCAGTGATAATATTGTGTGACAAATTCAAGAATTTAAGGTTCACACACCGGCTTAAATCTTCGGGTATGATCCCTCCTATAGTATTTTGTGACAGGTCGAGGTAAGAAAGTTGTGTCAAGGCCGAAAAGTTACTCGATATGTTACCCGACATGTTGCAGCGTGAAAGGTCGACACTGGTGACACGATTAATGAGGCTATCACACGAAATTCCGGGCCAGTTGCAGGGCGAGTTGTCCTGTGGATTCCATTGTGTGTATGTTCCTTGATTAACCGGATTTTGTTCCACCAGAATTGACCTCAGTTGCAGCAATACTTGCCTATCTGTCTCTATTGAGTCTCCAACAACAAGCTTTCCTACGATTCAGACACAATAAATGCAGGTCAACTCATAGGATCATCCTGGAAAACCGCAAAAATTAAAAAGATATTCAAAATCAAGAAGATGAATGGTACCTGTAATGAGGATCAGCAAATTAAACAAAGCAACCCGAATAAAATTGTCAGCTTCTTCTTCTGACATGATTGAGAGAATCTGACCTTCTTTTATCGAAATTCAGAGTTTTTCAGAGAAGTTGTTGGAACATGTTTTGAGGAAATTAATGATCAAAAAATTAATGTAAGAGTTTAAAGGAAGCAACAAATTT